TACCTCACAGAGTACTTGAGAGGGTGAAGAGACAATATAAAGAAAAGCTCTAGCCAAGACAAACACAGATTGGGCTGGGGGTGGGTGATACAGGGTGGTGGTGTGGGGATGGTGGTGGTGGGTGGATGATGGATTATTCTAAATTGCTTCTAGATCTCAAACTGTTGTTCTATGAATCTATCATCTGTGGGAAGAGTGGGACATACAGGGGAGTCACGTAGGTGCTATTAATGGTGCTTAAATTATTGGGTAACTTGAACTTCTAGAGAAAGGCACGGCTAGAGTAAAGGCAGTTATGCTGTTTGATTCAGTATTGTTAACAAGGATTCAAAGGGTTTACATGGCACAGAGCCTGGGACAGGGTCAGGCTCACCCCTTCATAAAGATCAGTCCCTTTTCTCACCATCATTCCAGAAAGTACACTTCCAATAAAAGATGTCAATTATTTTTAAAGCAGACCTTCAGGAGCAAATCTATAGTTCTACCAAAGGCAGGGATGAATCAACTTGTACTGTTGTTAATTTTAATACTTTATCCAACATCAACACAGTGAGTTGGCCTGCCTAAATTTGTCAATTTCTAGGACATTCCACAGATTCTTTTTAAAAAATGACTTAAAAGCCTCACCCGAAATTTGAGAGAGGTTTTTGTTGGTGATAGTGTACACCGTGTCTTCAAAAGTCACAAGACTGATTCCTAGAGCTCTGTGTTCATGCTCTGTAGCTGTATGTTAGTGTTTAAAGAAATAGTAAAAGTGGAGCCACAGTGGGGAGTGCCCGCAACCAAGGTACATGCCCTTAACTAGAATCGAACCCGGGACCCTTCAGTCCGCAGGCCGATGCTCTATCCACTGAGCCAAACTGGTTAGGGCAATTTTTCTTTTTATATGTTCTTTTAAAATAACAAATATGTACAACTATTATTTGGGAGCTTCCCATAAGACTAATGAAATAATTGAAATGAACATATTTTAGAATCTAACTAACCAATTATCTAAAGTTAAATAACATCTTTAGCTCTTAGCAAAAGGGTATAGATAGATAGTAAGCCTGCTACTGTATGGATTACCCAAGAAATTAAAGAGGTATTAACTATTTTCACCTATGGTTTCTAAGTAAGTGTCTCAATTCTTCATTTAAATCTTCTAAGATATACCTATGCTCTTAGAATAAAGTACTTAGTATGTGGTAACTCACAACTTCTAGGTCATCAATTCATTTATAACAAATTCTCCCTTGCTGTTCTGTGCTGTGGTAGAAGACAAGGAAAAATACATTCACCCAAATTCTTGAGCAGTTTATTTCTCCAAAGAAATTAAAATTTGTGTTTATGTTGGCAGCTCTATCACAACCACAGTCCATACCCCAGCCTGGTTACTATGGAATTCCAACTTACAAACACTATTAATATCAATGCATCAATCATAAAGCCCAATTCTACTTCCCTGGGTCACAACCTCATAACTAAGAACTAAATGATTTATCTGACTATCTGAGCTTCTGTAGTCAGTGACAGAGAACAGATTTTTTGGATACTTACTGATTGAACCATAAGTAAAATGACCTGTTATAATGACTATCTTTTTACCTTGATGACTTTTATTAGCATTTGATCGGAAAGGTCAACTGTATTTGAAGATTCTCCTGGTCTCACATTTTAGCAGAATCATTGTGTTAATTAGTGTCAAACAGTCTGTTTAAATCCGTCCAGCTGGTCCAGCTGGTGTGACTCAGTGGTAGAATGTCGACCTGTGAACCAGGAGGTCACAGTTTGATTCTCGTTCAGAGAACATGCCTGTGTTGTGGCTCAATCCCCACAGTGCAGCCGATCAATGATTCTCTCTCATCATTGATGTTTCTATCTCTCTCTCCCTCTCCCTTCCTCTCTCAAATCAATTTAAAACAAAAATCCCTCCAGCTACTAAGAACCAATGTCTATAGAGGCTCTCTATTAGGGATGGGGAAACTTTTTTCTGCCAAGGGCCATTTGGATATTTATAACATCATTCACAGGCCATACAAAATTATCAACTTAAAAATTAGCCTGCTATATTTGGTCAAACATTGAATTAACTCACCCCTAATGTCTTGGCAGGGCCAGACCAAAGGATTTTGTGGGCCTTATAGGGCCCGAGAGCTGGATATTCCCCACCTCTGCTCTAAAGCTGCAAGGTGTGTTCTAGACACTGTGAGGACATCTACTAGGAGATACTGATTGGCCCTAAATAAACAATGTTTTACTCATTGAAAACACACACACACACACACACACACTGGAAGAACTATATCAAAATGGTACAGGACTGGTTGCTTAATGAGTGATACTATGTTTTACTCTAATGACAATTAGCCTTTAAGCTCCAAATTTATGAAATGATACTCTGGATATAAAATATTTCAGGAAAATAAGTAAACCTACAATTACAGAACAAAATTTAAAACTACATGCTGACAGCAAGTTTAGGGTATGTTTATGTTGTATTATATTCTTTAACTTTGGGCCTTTTTATGGTCTTCTGTTATTAATATGAGCTGAATGGAAGAAACTGTGGAATATCATTTGTCAATTGTTGCTCAAGGCTAGCGTTCAAAATTGAAATAATATCTTTATTGGGGATATAAATATTTAATCAGATGCTTTTCATAATGACTTCTAAGTCTATCAAGTTCATTATAACTGAACAATAGGAAAAACAGGAAATAAAAGGCATCCAAATTGAAAAGGAAGAAGTAAAGCTTTCTCTGTTGGCAGATGACATGATCATGTATATAGAAAACCCTAAAAAGTTCATAACCCTCAAAAAACTATTAGAGCTAACAAATGAGTCCAGCAAGATTGCAGGATATCAGATCAATATAGAAAAATCAATTGTATTTCTATTAATGACAAATCCATTCCAAATGAAATTAAGAAGACAATTCCATTTATAATACCATCAAAAATAATAAAGGGAGTGAAGGCTTGTACACTGAAAACTGCAAAACATCAATGAAGCAAATTAATGGAGAACTAAATAAGCGGAAAGACATCCTCTGTCATGGATTAATATTATTAACATGGCAATAGTCTCCAGGTGGATCCACAGATTCAACACTATCCCTATCAAAATCTCAACTGCCTTTTTTGCAGAAATTGACCATCTTATCCTGCAATTCATATGGAAATGCAAAGGGTCCAGAATAGCCCGAACGATCTTGAAAAAGAAGAACAAAGTTGGAGGGACTCATTCTTCCTGATTTCAAAACCTATAACAAAGCAATAGTAATCAAGACTGTGATACTGGCATAAGGATCAATGGAATAGAATTGGGAGTCCAGAAATAAAGCCATATATTTTTGGTTAGCAGATTTTCATTTCACAGTTAAATGGAGAAAGAATTGTCTTTTTAATAAATGGTGCTGGGACAAAAGGATATTCATATGCAAAATATGAAGTTAGATCACTAGCTCGTACCATACATAAAATTAACTCAAAATGAATCAAAGACCTAAATGTTAGCACTAAAACTATAAAACTCTTAGGGGGAAATATAAGTGTATATCTTTGTGACCTTGAGTTAGACAATGGTTTCTTAGACAGGACATTAAAAGTACAAGCAACCAATCACTCCAAATTGGACTCCATCAAAATTAAAAATTTTGTGCTTCAAAGGCCATATCAAGAAAGTGAAAAGACAACCCATAAAATGAGAGAATATATTTGCAGATCATATATTTGTAAATTCAGACTAAATGTAGAACTCTTAAAACTCAACAATAAAAGGATAAATATCTCAATTTTAAAATGGGAAAATAATTTGAATAGACATTCCTCTAGAGTAAATATACAAATGGCCAACAAGTGTATAAAAAATATACACACCAACCATTATTGGTCATCGGGGAAATGCAAATCAGAATGACAGTGAGATACCAGTTAACATCCATTAGTATGGCTATAATTAAAGAACAAACCAGGCAATACCAAGTGGTGGCAAGGATTTGGAGAAATTGGAAGTCTCATGTGGTGCTAGTGGAAATATAAAATGGTGCAGCTGTATTAAAAAGAGTTTGGCAGTTCTTCAAAAATTAAACATAGAGTTACCGTATGATCCAGCAATTTCACTCCTAAGATATGTTCAAGGTGAATCAAAAACATATGTCCACATAAAAACTTACACACAAATGTTTATAGCATCATTATTCCTACTAGCCAAGAAGTGCAAACAATTCAAATGTCCATTGACTGATGAATACATAAACAAAATAAAATGTAATAATATTCAGCCATATGAAGGAATGAAGTACTTACTGATTCATACTACAACATTGATGAACCTTGAAAACATTATGCTCAATGAAAGAAGCCAGACACAAAAAGCCACATATTTTATAATTCCATTTAAATGAGATGTCCAAAATGATAGAGGCAAAACCATAGAGACAGAAAGTAGATAAATGCTCTCAAGGGGCTAAAGTAATGGAGGAAACGAAAAGTGACTGCTAATGGGTATAGAGTTTCTTTCGGGGTGACCAAGTGTTCTGGAGTTAGATAGCGGTGATGGTTCACAATTTAGTGAATATACTAAATTGTCCACTTTAAAGAGTGAATTTTATTATATGTAAATTATGTCTACATAATTTAAAATTGCTATGTTTTTCCTTCAGCACTCTATACACTAAGTTTTAATAAAGCATAATACAACTTGCAAAAGAATGTGATCATTAAAGCACATATTTATATATTTTGTTTCTAAGAAAAACAAGTTCCATGAGCAATCTTATAGGTGGCATGAAATCTGACCAGTTTTTAGTATCAGTGTAGACAGTGAGACAATGAGTCCAGCCTTCCTTCGAGTTACACTGTGAAGGTAAATACGAATTCATCACTTCTGTTCTCTCATTAAGTTCATGCGGATCCTTTGCGTGTAGGTTGATTAAACATTAATTGTTCTGAAGTTGAGGGAAGAATCTTGAGTATTTTAACCCCAAAGTCTCTATGTGCTCTCTCATTCCTTCCAGGTGCTGCCCTTCCCCAGCCAGGTGGTGTACAACAGAGTTGGCAAGTGTGGGAGTCGCACTGTGGTCTTGCTTCTGAGAATCTTGTCAGAGAAGCACGGATTTAATTTGGTCACGTCGGACATTCACAACAAAACCAGGCTTACTAAAAATGAACAAGTAAGTTGTCTTTGGCCACGGTTAAACTGTACTTTGCTTCGATTCATTGGTGTAATTAGTGGGTGCCTTACAGGACATCCTTCAAACCCTGACGGATGCATACCAGATTTGCAGCTTCATACTGTATATTTGTCAACGTGTGGAAGGAAGTTTAAGTTAAGTGTTCTGGTGGTGGTCTTTAAGCCAGGAAGTTTCCGAGAAGGGATACTTTTGTTAGACCAAAGGACAGTGTGCACTCATCATTGTTTATTTAGCTAAAAGTAGCAATGCATAAATCTCAGATCGTTACACCACTGAGCTGTAAATAATGCTGACATCCTGATGGCAAAAATAAGAAAGATTTATTTTAATATTTCTTCTTCTATATTTGCTCACAAGTATCCTAGGAACCTGACTGGTCGATGGGGGCATAAGCTTCCTCTTATGATCAGCTCAGGGGATCTTGCACTTCCACAGCAGCATTTGGCATATTCAGTGGTAGCAAAAGAATCATCCCATTTCCCAGGGACAGTTCTGTCACAATATAGCCAGCCATACAAGTGGACATACCGGTGGTAAAGTCTGCTCTACATTCTGCCTGGAAGCTATGCAAACAGATTCTACTTTATAAGCTTATACAAAAGTAGAGTCCATAGTCTCTATTGGGGCACTTTGCTGATATAGCACAGTTAGGCCTAGTGCTCTCAAGGTCATTTTACAGGGTCAAGTTTGTTAGCTTATCTCACAAAGTTGGCTTCTGTGCCTTTAGTACTTAAGGATGGATGACTAGCCACCAGTATAAGGCAGGGTTTTCTAGAGAACAGAACCAGTCGGATGGAGATATCTATCAATTATCAATAAATAGATATAAAAGGAGATTTATTATGAGGAATTGGCTCACACAATAATGGAGACTGAGAAGTCCCATGATCTGCCATCTGTACGCTGGAGACGCAGCAAAGCCATTGGTGTAATGGAGTTCAAAGGCCTGAAAACCAGAGGAGCCAATGCTGTAAGTCCCAGTCGAAGTTATAAAATGAAATGTTCCAGCTTAAACATTGAGGCAGGGAAAAGGGGGCAAATTCCTCCTTTCTCCACATTTTGTTTTATTCAGGCCTTTAAGAGACTGGGTGATGCACACCCACATTGGGAGAACAATCTCCTTTACTAAGTCCATGGATTCAAATGCTAATCTCATTCAGAAACAGCCTCACAGACACCCCCAGAAATTTTGTGTAATCTGGGCCTCCCTTGGCCAGTCAAGTTGACACATAACATTAACCATCACACCACCCAATGATTTTCTAAGTTTGGAGAATAAATAAAACACGTGGTTTACTATCAGGTTGAGGCCACAATAATGGAAATTTCCACCCATGTCCACTTCTTTCTGGCAAAGCCTCACAAAGAAAGGGAATTTACAATGGCCTTTATTTCTCTTTTTTCATGGGGACATTGGGACAGTTTTTAAGACAGTAACATAACCAACAGGACTTGCGATAAGCCAATATATTTAGTGTCTCCCATAATATAGAGATCAATATGTCCACTCCTTTGAAAACTTCCACTAAAGAGTCTCTGAGTATCAAGTCCAAAGAGTCAATCAACAATAAATATTTTGAGATTATCCCTTGAAGCTTCTATAGTAGGCTGTCAATAGAAAAATTATATTTGGTGACATTTAAGGATATCACATTTTATTAATGAGTTTAATAGGGGTATGTTATCAGATTTCCTTATCTGATTGAAGAGTTAATATGAGGAGGCTGGTCATGTCCTTTTCACTACCTGAAAGAAAGTGACTGTACATTAATAGCCTATGTAGTTGCAATTTTATTATAATTATGAAATTTGGTTTTCCTTGGAGTACTTGAGTCTGCCTATCAGATTACACCTAAATATTGCTATGTGTGGAAACTATGCCCAGTTCTCAGAAGCCTCATAAAACACAGCAGCTCAATTTCAGTTCCCACTGCTGATGAGATGCAAACAATACAGCAAGGTAACTGAAGTGTTAGGCATTGAGATGTTCGGGAATGCCCTAGAAGAGAGAGCACAAAATATAACATTTAAATATACTGTGTGATGTTCACAAATAAACAAACCTACTTTGTTTCCTACAAGGAACTGTCTGGAGAAAGTAAAATACAGTTGCAACTGTCACGAGAAAGATTTAGATGAAAATTTAACAGTAATTGAATAAAGGTGTATAAATTGCTGCCTCTAGAGAAGGGTTAAAGACAAAGTCATCTTTGTCCTCTAAAATAGAAGTGAGCTCTCATCTGTTTGGAATGATTGGCTTGTCTGGAAGCCAGCGAATAGACTAGACAATCTCTTAAGGTTCTTTCCAGCCCTGTGATTCTGTGATATATTTATACAACTTCTAGTATAGTCTCTATGTAGTGCAGTTGAAGCATTTCTGATTCCTGTGGTCAGTATGAACCAGAATATATTTCATTACGTAGTTACTCCAGATTCCTATTAAATTATAAGGCAAGTTTTAAAAACTCAAGGGAAAGGTAAAGATATGGTAGGAAAAACAAATAAGCAATTTCGATGTAAAAGCAAACGATAGCGACAGTGGCCTCTGTGCAGCTCGCTGACCGGGCTGTGACACGCAGAGGGAGCCAGGATATGGCATGACAAGAAACCAAGTTTGAAGTAGCTTAAGAATGTTTAAAGAAACTCTTTTCCTTATTATATGTATTCTTTTACTAAAGTTTCAAAGCGCATAAAACAAGTGGAGAAAAAATATTATTTTAACCTAATATATTCAAGAACTAATTTGTGGTATAAATAGCTCCTCTTCTTGGTAATTTATTAAAGGAAAGGGTTGGGGGAGTGATTTAGGAGAGAAGTTAAAAATTTTAAAGTCAGTGGTTCTCAACATTAAACAGTAGAACTCTGAAAATGTGTTCCCATGGAAACATTGTTCTATGGAGTTAATAACACTTTACTTCAGGTGCAGAATATACTGGCTCCTGTGGGCTGGCCCAGGACTCTATCCACCATGTAGAACATTGATTTTATGAGGAAATGTGTTCCAGGTTCCAAACTACTGACTTACAAATGAACTTCGGAATGCTATTCACTTATGAGACTTGAATTATCTATACCATTTCATTCATAGACATGGGCACCCCACTCTGGCCAGAGTCAAATTCATGTCCATGCATACATTTCTCACTATAGGGTAGCTGTCACATCTTTCTTTCTCTCTCTTTATCTCTCTCTCTCTCTTTTCTCTTTCTCCTCCCCCCTCTCTCTTTCTCTCTCTCTGTCTCTCTCCACTAAATTTAAAAAATCTACACAGTATTTAATAACATAAGACACTGAAGGGATTACTAAAAAGGAAAGGGAGCACGCAGACACCAAATGTTAGAATGCCTATAAAAATCCCATTACATCTGCTGCATAGACATAGAAATACCTTTGAAGTTACTATTTGAGAAAACTCCGCCCCAACAGAAAAGCAAGGACAGCTGCTGAAGACCAAATGTCAGAACTTTCAGGGCGTTGATGCAAACCATGGTGACATCATTTCATTTATGCTCTAAAACCAGGTTTTGATTTCTTGGGCTCGCTTAGATAAGCTCGTGGAATTGCATACACTTTGAAAGACATGGGGTGTGATTTCCAAAGGACTCATAACCATTTTTGTTTATGGTCTGATGCTATTTTTCAGAACATTGTTCTCAGGACAATGAAAGTCAACGTGTTGCAGGCATATCATAGACATAGGAATTCAAAATTATTGCATTCTTGTTGGAGAAGGGTTGACATAGGAGCCCAAAAGATCAAGAAAAAAATAGTTTTACTCTCTTATTTATATTGAAGCTACTTAGGATTACAAAATTGGAAACAGCATTTACTCCATGGTAATTGTCTTACTTCATTATTTTATTTAAGTCTTTTGGACCTAAAACCAGTGCACAGGTATGAGAAAACTGAGACAATCAGATTGTCACTTTCAGAATGGAATAGGATAGGATAGGATAGGATAGGATAGGATAGGATAGAATGACTACCTGTGGCACCTGCACTTGAACTTAGGCCCTCCTGAACCCAACAGCCCTTCTGAGGCAGTGGTTATCATTCTAGCTGCACCGCAGAATCTCCAGCAAAGCCTTTGAAACATACAGTTGCAATGGCCCTTCCCCTGAAGTGTTTCCTGGTGGAGCCAAGAAAACGTCTTTTAAAAATAATAGTAAAGTACCACAGGAGATTCTGTAGTGCCGACGGGGTTAAGAATCCTTGTCAAAACTATGACATTTTCCTAAGAGTGTTCCTGGGAGTCTTAGTCCCCTAAGACACCGAAAAATAAAAATAAAAGAAACTACCATGATTAAAAAAATATGGGAATTGCTGGCCCTTTGTCCCCCTCTAGGAGATTCACTATGATTATTCACACTTTAAAGAATGGGGATTCTTTCCATTAAAAATTTGTTTAACTGGCTTTCATTAGTGCTTCCCCATCTCCGCTGGCAGGGAACTCTTTATAAGCTCTCCTGTGTGTGGCTCTCCTGTGCACCCCACAGCTGGAGATCATATCTCCTGGGACTCTTTTAAGCAGCTATGAAGATGCTGAAAAGTATTTAAAGGGTGGAAGTCACAGAGAACCTATGCGCCTCATGTGCTCTAGATTGTTTTAGCCTCTTGGTCAAAAACAGAATTTCTTTACAGTGTTTTAAACTTCCCTTCCCCATTGCTCTCCTCCCTGCCAGTTCTCAATCTCACTGTGGCTGTAAAGCAATGCAACTCTAAGAAACAAAACTCACCTACAGAAACCATGGTAGATTTGGAAAAGGTCTAGAGACCACGGGGATTCCTCCCAGGCCTTCCCAAGGCAGGGTCAGCCGGTCTTCCTTGAAAGGTAAAGGTTCACTCATTCATTTTGAAGCAGGTCACTTCGTTGTTTCTTCCTTCATTTTGACGGCTATTCATTGGGCACCTACCATGAACGCTGTATATTGAGCCCCAGAGAGCATAACAGATAGGTGTGAATCTTATTTCTAATGCTT